CAAAAGATGATTTGTTAATAGCTTTGTTTTTTTATTTCAGATAAAGCATACATGACTTTACAGGTAGAGGGTCAAAGGTTAAGTGCAGAACAAATGTCCTTGCCAACTTGGCCCCCTGCTGCACTATACCAAGTGCCTGCCAGAGAGGTATTGAAGCCCCTTCCACAGCCTGAAGCCACATCTCCATTTAACTCCCAGGGTGAGAATCAACATAATCTGATAACATAACTGGATGACATTTACTTAATGAACAAATGCAGTGCTTTTCGTTCTTGTCCATTGATGATACCGGAATTCTGAAGCCTTCGGCTTATATCACCACTTATATCACCTGGGTTTAACGCCTCCTACTACCAGCATGCCTGTTCTTTGCTAATGTACTAGGAAAATTGACTTCTTTTCTTCAGCCCCAATGATTTAAGATTTAACCTGTAATTTCTTCTAGCAACTTTACTTCTTCGATGAAGAATCCTTACCTTGTAGTTGCAGGTGGTCTCCCCACCTTCTTCGTAACTATCTGGAGCTTTTATCCCGAGTCTTGGCTTCTGGACATGCACTCCACGTTGCTGTGTGAGTCATCTGTCAGCTCTCTAGATTCTGTGAATACTCAAGGCCTTGTCTTCCACCTTGAGCCTGTGCCTCGCTTGCTGCACCTGTAGCTGCAACATATCTGATTCAAAGCATGGCGGGGACAGCCCCCCACCTAGGGCCATTTTCTCTTTACTAGGCCCGGCTTCACACCTGTTCTTGCTGTAGTTCTCCTCTGCCAAACCATGTCTGATTAGTCCAAATCCCTGGAGCAGCACCTAACTAATGAGACACAAACCCACAGATATTCATCACATGGTCAAGATGTCTCTGGCTCTGAACAATAGCTGTCTTTCTCTACATAGCCTTTGAATAACGTCTAGCGGCAAGAGTACTCCTCTTCCTCAGCAGAAAAAAGACTAAGGAGCAGACTCACAAGTAATCTCCATACATTACTTCTCAGAAGCTTTCCCTTTGCTATACTGCGCCCTTGACTTCTACATCGAGACCTCCCCAGCTTTGTTTTCTGACCACCTGCAAGACCTGGCATTCAAAGTCGGGAAAGTTTTCAAAAAAGCTCTCCTTAGCATGAAGGTGTGCCCTCACTTTCCAAGGCATGGGGCACATCTTTGATCCTTCGATAGTTCTGACATCGTTCCAGTCCTAGCTGCAGATGTTTTTTAGGATTTTTACTCCAACTTGAATTTTTACTAAATCCAAAGGCACATTTGACCCATCTTGGACCTTCAAATGCTTACATTGAAATACTAATATTCCGGATAGAATCATCGAGATCGATTGTCATTTATGTTCACCAGGAAGTGAACATGGCTTGTCCTCTGCACCTCAGGTGTTTACCAAGGTGCTGGCTCCAGTGTTGGCCCTCTAATGCTTTTGACATAGATCGGTAATGAGCTACTTGGATGACCACTTCTTGAGAAAAAAGTTGGTAAAGACTCTGGAGGACAATGTGTCTCTGACTGTCCAGATGTTATAGAGGTTCCAATGGATCCTGAAACCCAAAAGGTAATCGCTGGCTCGGATGCACCACTTGGAGTTTCAGGGGGTTGGTCCTGAACACTTATTTGATCAAAGTGTTTCTTGCACTAGAAGTTTCAGACTCTCCAGTCTCAAGTGTTAGTAAATGAAGTGTCCAACTCCCTCCTTCTGCAAAACAGCCTTGGTGCTGATTGTAGCCTACTTTGAGGCTGTTCTATTTGCCTAATTCCTTTCCGGGAATCTAAAACACGGCATTCTGTCATCATGGGACTAATCAATCCAGTATCTGGACAGACCAATTTATTTAACATCAAGGACCAGGCTGTCTTGGTGGATTCGGGTTCCAGCTCCGACATTGGGGAACTTGCTCCTTCCTGTATTCTGAAAGACCCTGACAACACACTGGTGGGATCCCATCTCCTGACACTGGATCCCAACATCCTGGCACTTCAGGTGATTTGGCTCTCATTTAAGTGTTAAACTGACCTGCTAAAGGGTCATTCAATCCTGCGCTGGCATACATCAATCAGGGAGGAAAAAGAAGTCTCACTGCTGCAAAGGGGGGCAGAACAAATCATAATTCAGGCAGAACATCATGTTCCAGCTCTGTCAGCCGTGACATTCCTCTCTCTGCCCGGCCCCACAAGGTGGTATTTTCTTCTAGCTATCGCCTCTGCTAGGCAAGTGTCTGATAAATGGCCTTCTCTTGCACGGAACTCTTTTTTAGGTCCTTTATACGGACAAGGTGTGGTTGAGCTCTAGGCCCTTCTTACTTTCTAAGGTAGTATATGGACCTTAACTGTAACCAGGACATTGTCCTTCTATCCTTGTGTCCTGCTCCAGTTATACAGAGGGAAATTTCTCTCAATTTTGTGGATATGGTTCAGTCTTTGCTTTCCAGTTAACTCTACCGGGACTTTGAGTGCTTCTTGGGCATTTAAGCTGAAAGCCTCTGTTTCCCAGATTTGTGAGGTTACTACTTGTTGTTGTGTTTACACTTTACATAAGTTTTACAAAGTGGACATTTCTGTTTTCATCTAATGCCAGCTTCTGGTTTATGTCTTTCAGGCAGTTGTTTGAGCAACCCTTGTTTCTTGTTGGGCCGTTTAGCTGTTTTTTGGCTGCAATGGTTTCGGAATTCTGATGTCCCTCAGTGAAGGAGAGAGAAAATAGGATTTTCGTACTCACCGTAAAGAAAATTTTCTCAGAGTACATTGAAGGACATGGGTCCCAACCCATTGAGTTTATAACTGTGCTTTTGGTACTGCTTTGCTACCAAACTGAGCCATTAGAACAAAAAGGTCTCAGAATTCATGTGTCCTTCAATGAACTCTGAGAGAAGGGTTTTATGTTGAGTGCAAAAATCCTATTTTCTTGATCAGGACAGGGCAGACTAGTTACAGTTTGAATGAATGGGTTATGCAGCTACCTTCAGGTCATTGGACACTGGTAAATAAAGCTGTTAGGATAACCCTATCTTAATGAATTTGATGTTTTTTTTTTTTTTTTAACACAGGTCAGTCAGTGCCACTAAACTTGCATGAAGGTTCACGGACATTGGCACCACGTATCAACAGCATATCAAACCCACCTCCCCTTATATCCTCCAGCAAACACCCAGCTGCTATTGAAAGACCCATGGGCTCTATATCTCAGGTATGTAGATGGTAGCTAAAAATGAGACTTAGACTTATACTTTCTTAATGAAATATCTGCTGTGGTACTTCAGACACACAACACCCACCTCCAACATTGAGCTTATTGAGCAATGATTCCCAATGGAAAGTAAAATTCCAGGACATGCAGAGGTGAGTCAGTCAACAGAATGGTTTACCAGAATTGCAAATCCCTTTTCAGGGACAATAGTGTGAATGTATTTTTAGATTAGATATTTTAGTTTTTTTGTGGGGATTTATGGAGTTCTACTTTAAGATTTTGTTTTAGTGAAATAAACAATAAAATAAGCCTAGTAATGATAACAGTAATAAAGTACATATTGAAGATGAATGCTTTTAATGCCAGTTCTGTTAACTTAATACAAGCTCAAAAAAGGTGTTGGCATGGTGTCAGACTACATACTCTAAAGGTGCCTATACACTGGCAAAATTTCGGCCGATTTTTAATGTACCAGCCGAAATTCGGCCAGTGTATGAGGCTGTCGGCTCCCTTTCAGCCGGCATGCCTCGAACAGCTGATCGAAGGAGCCGGCTGGAAAATCTTTGTACAATCGGAGCCGACACCCAATGAGCTGTCCACTCTGATCGGTTATTGTGACAGGTGCCAGTGGCACCTGTCAGAATACAATGCAATGCAAACAGCAGCGATTCCTCGATCGACATACTGTTTGTGTTGATGGAGGAATCAACTTCTTCCGTTCAGCCCGTGGGTTGAACGAAAGAAATTGACAGGTGTACTACAGTATATACTATACCTCTAAAAATGTACTACACCTGAAAAAAGAAAGCTAATGCAGGTGCCTTATCTAAGGACTGGTAAGCTGCAATATAATAAATTTTTGTTCTTATAATACATTTCTTGTGTTCTTATTCTTCAATGTTACAGGCAAGGCTCCAAAGACATGCTGGTAGGTTAATTGGCTCCTCTCTAAGTTGGCCATGTATGTGAGATAGGGACCTTAGATTGTAAGCTCCTTGAGGGTAGGGATTGATGTGAATGTGTAACTATGTAAAGTGCTGCGTAAATTGTCGGCGCTATAGAAATACCTGTAATAAATAAATATTAGAATATTTAAAGCAAACATAAACCACTTCAATTATTCCATTTCATTTGTTTTGGGTTATAATTTTGGTAAGAATGGCTTGTGTATCTGCTGCATTTACTTTAGAATGTTTTTTATATCATGCTTATGGTCAACTATCTTTCTGTTTTCAGGGTGTTCCCATCCCACTTCATACTCCATACAGCTCTGAACATGCAAAGGTCCCTGTGGGATCCATCACAATGGGTTTACCAATGAGTATGGACCCTAAAAAACTGGGTGAGGAGCGTAAGTTCACATCTGTTCTGTCCTGTTATCTTTAGCGTGCTCACATTGAATGATTATCAATTGTATTGTGTGTGTGTGTTATAGCCTGATAATTGTTGTACGTTTTCCTGTTGTCAAATCCCCACTGTAAATTCCAGCATGTTATTAAAATATTCCACTTGTGGAATTGTGTCCATGGCGAGCCTGCCAGTTACAAGCAAAAAAAAAAAGAAATAACTGTCCAGTATACACAAAACATTGCAGAGCAGACTGGGTCACTGACCTTCTTCTGTGCATGACTGAACCCTGCTGAACTCCAGTTTGCTTTATAAAGCAAAGTTCACCTATGATGACAGTGTGTCTGCAAACTCCATCTCACCATTTATGACATGTCTTGTTGCCTTTAGCACACATTGACTGGGATGCTTCAACTATAACTGAATGTGAACTGTAGCCCTGTTTCAGTGCAGAGAGCACAATTCCTCAGAAATTTCATGAAGGTCATGCAGCTCTCCAGAGCTCATAATCTGTCTCTCTTTATGCTCTAAACAATGCAGGTTGCTGCTATTATGAAACTGTACATATTTCAGTGCAGGTTTGCAATGCAGTGCCCATATGCCTATGGTTGCTTTATACAATTTCTGCTGATGACCAGATACTAAAAGATTATTACTATACTAGCGATTTTAGCAGTGTGGACTGAGTTACTAAAAATGCCATATGTAGCTCAGTCACACCAGGAACAGTATGAAGAATGACATTGTTCCCATTCTGATAAGCTGGCACCATTGTGCCACTCCTCGCTCTGCCCATTTCCCTTTCTTGAGAATTGCAGGTTAGTGCCTCTCTCTGCTCTTTCTTTTCCCTGAGAACAGTGTGGTTGTGCCTCTACCTCGAACTGCCTTCCTATCCTACCACAATCTCAATACAAATGAGAAAACTGAATGTAAGATTGCAGTCCATCACGGGAGCGAGCTTGGAGCGATGGCTACTTTACAACACACAGGGACCTTGGGGAGCAAAAGTAGCCACCCTCCAGAAGGAAGGACAGTGTCAGCACCAATTCAGAGATGATTGGAGGATCTACAGCCGAGTGATACACAGATAAGATACATTCTGTTATAGTTAAGATACTTGAATGTATTTTTAAGATTTTACTCCAGAGTTTAGTGTCATTTTAAGGAACTCAGAGGAGCAGTGTTTCCTTCTAAACTCTGATACAGTTTCAGAAAAGTCAGTATCCCATTCCTCCAGCATTTTGGAAAATAAAAATCGACCCGGTCTCTGATTTTTTTCTAAAAAGCGCACTCTGTACTGTGAGGAAAAACTGCGGCTTTCATGCATTAGCAAGCTCCTCTGCTTCGCTTCTGTTAGCCCCGTAGTGTTGTGTGCAAACACATTTGTCAGGGTGTCGCATGCTGGGTTGTAGATAAAGTGTGTGCTGAAAGAATGGTTACATTGAGCGAAGTTCAGAGGTTGAGTTGTAGTTCAGACGGCGGGCTGACACAAGGAAATGCTATCCATCTGATAGGTAATTATGAAACAAAAACAAGCTGGTGAAGTTCTGCTTCCTTTATTGCTTTTCTTGTTGATTGAACAATAAGGCAAAACACTTTGATTAGCTGATTGGTGGGCAGTACACCCCTGATTGGTTGAGAGTGCTGCCCTGCCTATTCTAGAACATAGAATAAGATAGCCCATAGACATGAGATGACAGTTTCTGGTTCGGCTGTTTTCTGTTAGATCGCTTGAAAATCTCATAATGGCAGGGAGATGTCCACTGGCCAAAAACTCCCTTGGGGAGCAAGAATTGGGCCGTTTACAAAACTTTCTCCAATCATAATTAGCAGCATGTGCCTATGCTGCTGTCCTCCACCTCCCTTGGCTTTCTGTTCACTAAGACCCCGTTCACATTGAGCGATTTATCGCGCGGTAAGTTCCGCGATATCGCAGCAAATTACCGCGCGATATCGCGCTCCAATGCAATCCAATAGGGGAAAGGGTCCTGCTGTCGCGGGTCGTGTGTCGCTACAGCAGGACCCTTTTTTGAGCGGATTTAGCCGCGATTCAAGCTTGCTCAATGCAAGCTTGAACGCGACATCGCGCGGCAAATCTCGCAATGTCGCGCAATATGCAAATCGCACGACAAACGTGCGATTTGCATATCGCGCAGTGGGAACGGGGCCTTAAAGAGGAACTTTACCCATATCTTTAAAATGCCAACAGAGGCACATTTAGAAATCTTAAGTAATAATGTACAAATAGATACTTCAAGATAATTGCCGTCTTTTTAATCTTTGCGTACCTTATTCTTCTTTTCCTCACCATTCTTTTAACACTGGCCATTTTTACTAAGGGCAGATTAATGCATTTCCTTTTACTTCCTGGAACTATGGCACATGTGACTAGGATATGTGGCCATGCAGATCATCTCAGGGGAAAAAAATGCCTTTCCCTGAGATCTCATAAGATTATGCAGTCTATAGATGAGACTTCCTAGCAATGCACTGCTGATGTAACCTCCTTCGGTATCATTGCTCCGGCTAAGGCTACATCACTAATGCCTAAGAGGACCAGGAAGTGGAAAAAAAAACTGTAATTGTAAGTAAAAGAAAAATATGTGACTAAAAACTAATGTAATATGAATGTAAGATGATTTAATATAACCATACAGAGCTTCACGCTGATGTGATTTTTAGTGAAAGGGGGTAAAGGTCCACTTTAAAGTTACTAGGTCTGCAAAGCAATCCTTGCAGGTTTATGGAGAAGCCAGCAGCACTCAGGAGTCATGCTGATTCAAGACTAGCCGAATTATGCCAGCCCGTCCAAATGCCCTCTAATGTCTATGCACCTTGTAGAAATCGTGCAGGGAATCAGGTGGTTAAGCATGCTGTTCTAGGTCAGTATACTTCTAGAAGGTGACCTCCTTTTATGACTTTGTTATCACATTGCTACTGCAATAAAGGTTTAATAGATCTCTTTTAAATATGGTGAACTTTGCACAGGAGTGTTTAGGAGGAAATGAATGGCGGCACTTTTTCTTTATTGTTCTGTCAAATTCAGAGAGGGATGAGTGCAGTGAATGTACAGGTTATGTGTGTGCACGCAGGAAGTGGGGGTGGCATATCTGATATTTATTTGTATTGGGAACTTTTTGTGCTTGTTAGTGCTGGACTCACACTACGTTCCGCTCTGCTATAGTGTGCATTTACTTTGTCAGTTGTCCTATGTGTCCGAGGGGGAGAAAAAACTGCAAGACGTTATTACTAGCACTGCACTGGGCTGCTATTTTGTTACCTCTTTAAGAGATGAATGTGTGATAAGGATTGTCATCATTATAAGGTATTTCTGTGCTAGTGATAAAATCTATGAACCATTACCAGGTTTTCAGATGAACACTTTCTTATTGGAAACCTACTGTCTTGTTGTGATTTGTCTGCCTTCTCTCACCCACGATTGTCCTTTGTGCATATTATATACCTGAGTGCTTTCTGCAGTGTGCTGTAAATAAATTAAAGCAAGTGATAGCCACTTGAATTGTATACCCTACCCTGAACTCAGTTATACACAATATAAAGAATACTGCCCTACTGCCATAAGTGTTGGTGCATGTTGTGCTTCCTACTGCAGGTGCTGATGTGACAGCCCGAAAACCTGTATTGGCATAAGGCTCGTAATAACGATATGTCCAAAGAGAAGGGGCAACTGTTTATGTGCTAATGGATCTCTCTCGTTTCATTTGTTATTATTTAGTGCCTTTCCTGGCCGTAAAACAGGAGCAACTCTCCCCCAGAAGCCAGCCAGAGAACCTGGTTATGCAGACACCTCAAGAAAGCTCGATATTTAGGGGTAGGACTCTGTGCTCTTATGCTAATTTGCCGTACCATGTGACTTACTATATCTGTCTGCATCATCCTGTAATTTACAAAAGGAATAATCCTTTTGTCTGTGTGTGTCACAATGCAAGCAGCCCAAATACCAAACATTACATTTTTTGACTAGATTCACAGTTACATGTGTATGCTTACATGGAGTCGACAGCACTGACACTATTCTCCGCCTATGTGCCCTGGTTATCTTCCTCAATGACATTATTGTTCTTTAAAATCACTGGTTCAGATAAGATGGCTGAATGCATTTCAGTGAAATATCCCTATATGTTGTATTCAGAATATGTTGAATGCTTCCCTAAAATATTTTATAAGGTTGTAATAGCAGAAATATAAATCTTTGTATGTCATTGCACATTAAAAACCGTAAATAAGTTTAGGGTTTGAGTTGTTAAAGGAGAACTATGGGGTTAGTGTTTTTCTCCATAGTTCTCCTAGGGGTAACTGGAGGACACAAACCAGCGCCCTCCCGTCACCCAAAGCTCAGTATACCGCGAGCTACAGCATTCGGCTAATAACTTACTGGCTCCTATGAGAATAAGAGCGAACGGCAGCGATTGAGCTGCCGGAGCTTCAGCTCAGCTGATACAGATGTTGGATCGGCTGAGTTGAACTTCGGCTCAGCCGAACATGCACGGTATAACGCATGTTAATGCATTGCAACAGTGTGAATCCAGTTCTAGGCAAGAAAAACTGACTCGAGGCAGGAAAGGGGGTGGGCAAGCTTAGTCACTGTCAGGAAGTGCCACAGCTTTCCCTGTCAAAAGGTCCTGGGATATGGCCATACTGCAGATTTGGGGGGCTTGTGCAGTCATCTCTAGGTGCCTGCATTTTATATTTGTATCGGGGTTTTTTTGTTTGTTTTTTTATTGACCTATTAAGATTTACATATTAACAAATACCCATTTTTACATTTTCACAATAAAATGGATTTCAGGATTCTGTCCTTTTTTGTTTACTTGAGTGGTCTAATGTGATGAATGACAGAACAAGTAGAAAATGTATTCTTTTACTGGTACTTAAAAAGCATTGGTGTTTCCATTGCAGGTACAGCTCAAGGAGCAAGTCTCTCTAAAGGTTTGCCAGGTAGTCGACCTCCACCAGATCCTCAAATAACATACAGAGGGTCCATTACACATGTGAGTCTGCTCTGTGGGCTGGTGTTTATTAGAATGGTGAATTAGGGTTACCACATGTAAAGCAGGTCAATGCTTTGTTTCACTTTGTTTTTCTTTTACCTTAATTTCCACACATTTCTAGGGCACTCCAGCAGAAGTACTTTACAAAGGAACCATTTCCAAGATCATGGGAGAAAATAGCCCATGCAGGGTCGACAGAATGCGTGAGGAACCAGTGTCCAAGGGTAAAGTCATTTATGAAGGCATGAAAGGCCACATCCTCTCACTCGATGGTAAGTCCTATGATCTTCTTTTTTTTTTTTTTTGCTTCTTACCTTTTGAAAGAAACTATACAAAGCACAATAATAGGCTAACGCATATTTATACATGGAATCTGTAAGAATGGGTAGAACATGAGCCATTCCAACCAGCAACATGATACCATTTATTTTTTTGCACTAACTAATTGAAAGTTATCCCTTTTAGAGGGTACTTTGTTGTACTGGCAGACTATGTTGTATCTTGCTGTATGTAATCAAATGCTGTAGTTGTTGTAGGCTCAATTGATTTTAATGAAGGTAACATAAAGGATAGGTGCACCTTTAAAGTACATATAAACCCTAACTAAATGACATTTAGTTTACTACAGCCTTGTAGATCAATCATTTTCTATGTTTTTTTCCCTAGTAAAATATTATTTTCACTTTTTTTATCCTTTGTTTTGTGTCAATGCAGCCTTTTTGCAGTCACTTTCTGTATGAATGCCCTCCCACGATGGCATTTCTCAGGCCGGGTTTCCTGATGGTGACAACAATGGACATGTATGTGCAATGTGCATTGACACAGCTACTTGTAGTATCCATTGGCAGAAAGTGTCAGGGGGAAAATGCAGGAGAATTTTTGGGAGATGGGGTAAAGAGTTGTCACCTTATAACAGAAAATGTCTTCACACGATCTTCAGGGCAGGATTACCAGGTCTTATTTTATGAAAAAGCACAGATTTACTGTTACATTTTATATGAGGTTTTAAGTGATTGGGTTTATAATACTTTAAAGGTACACTGATCGCTCTATGGTAGCAGACCGCATTTTCATTAAACCCATTCAGCACTTACAGAGAAACCCTAGCCGAAATGTGTTTTGTGTTGGGCTGCACAGGGATGAGTAAGATCCTCCATTTGGTTTCCACTTTTGTGTACCTTTGAGCATATTTGGGGAGCTAGGGGTATGACAAAGACACAACATGTTAAAGCTTAAAGTTTAGGGCTTGAATTTACTTTAACGAATAATCCAGCCAGCTTTCAAGCCTTTCCACAAGTTATGGGTAAATAATTCATATCTTAGATCACGCTAAAATGTACTTTCCACTGCCTAGGCCCAGTGCAGCCTTTCCCCCTCTAGTTCTACTTTTTCTACCCACAGTCCATGCCCCACGTTCAGATTTGGAGAAATGAAGTCAGTTCCCACTTTCATCTTAGAGCATGTTTTGAATGATCTAACAAAATTCTCTATGGCTACTCCCCCTCATGAGACCACTACCAATATTCTCTATGGCTGCTTCCCATAATAAGGCAACTACCAATATTGTCTATTGCCACTTTCCATCATGAGGCCACAGCTATAGATAAAAAATATTCTGTTGGAGAAAAGGCCGTGCCAGTCCCAGGAAGCAATACTGTCAAAAGTAACCAGAGAGAGGGGCTGCCTGAAGTTTTGTCTAAAGAATGCCAGTTGCCTGGCTATCATGCTAGTCCAATGGCTTCAGTCCTGGATACTGGAGAAGCTGAGGATCTTAGCCTTGCGTGACATAAA